GGTATTATCATTGGATGTGAATTTTTCTCCCCACTAAGGTAAGAGACGCTCTGACGCCCTGGCGCCCTGACGCCCCATCCCCCGTCCTCATCATTACGTGGTGGATGTGGCAGACAAGAGGAATGTTCACCGATGCGACATGACACACGGACCCGGAGGACAACAATAGGTACCTAAGGTTGTTTTCGTCGACCACGCTGGCAGGTTGAACAAGGGAGGGAGACAGAGGCTCAGGCTCAGACTCAGGCGCCCGAATCAGCCCCCCTTCCCCTCCTCCCCCTAAGAGAGAGTCGTATCACCCACGGGGCGACCAGAGCATGATCCCAACCAACCAACCCCTTTTGTCTAGTTTCCTCCTTTGTGGGAAGTTTGCGCCCGCCGGAGATAGACGGGGTTTTTCTATTATTATTACTATTATTATTTGTTTTATTATTTGAAATAAAAATTAAGATTTTTATTGTCTTACCCAATGACACCGTAGCTTCACGCAGTAAGAGATCATATTTTGGAGTTATTGGACAATCTTATCCGCCAGGATTCGTCACTAACTATTTAAATAGCATAAGTTGAGTAACAAGATGTGCGGAGACGGAATCTGGGGAAAGGTTGTCTTGTCTGTTGTAACTGTAACTGTAATTGGTAAAATTACGAGGGAGTATGTATCCTTGACTAAGCTGAGTCGACTCGTTTTAACTACTCCAATTTTCAATCCTCCTAATTTAGGAAGGGATAATGAGATGCCTGGTTTTTATCATTATTTGTTGATATGACGTGAAAAACTCGTTATCAGCTGGAACTGGATTGCTAGTAAGCTATTGACAAGAAATTTCAGCTCGCGACACACTTCCCAGAAAGACTAGCTTGTGTTTGCCCACCTACCATGTAAGTACTAGAGTACGGAGTATAGCTAGCTGATAAGGAAGGAAGGAAGGAAGGAGAAAAGGGACTAACGGGTAAGAAGCGGATCATCTTCTCCCCTCTCCCCCTCCCGCAACCGCAATCACCACGGCCCTCGGCTGTCTAAACACACGCACCCGCATACAAGGCAAGAGATGCCAAGGCAAGACAGGATCCACAAGCTTCTGGAACAGATGGACTTTTTTTTTTTTTTTTTCTTTTCTTCCCACCGCCTGCCGGTTTCGTCGACGCGTTGCACAACTCGGTAGGGTTATACTAATAATACTCCCCAGGTTAACTATGCGGGGCCGGATCCCGGCCAGGAGGTTGATGTTGTGTTCCAGGTTTCCAACAACCAAGAGAGTGAGGTATGTATTATGGATGATGGATGGATGCATGGGTGGATGATGGTATTGGTGGAAAGTCAAGGGTTGGGAGGGAAGAATTTTCAACCCATCTCTGAGGACGCAACCTCGCCTTACCACTGTCCTGTGTGTCCTCACTAATCACTACCTACCTATCTATTCTACATATCGAAGACGAGTCATCGAGTGGTGGACTGACTGAGTGAGCGCTGACTCCGAGGGTCCTCCATACTATGTTACCTACACTAAGAAGAACCCCACCGGATTATGCCCCTCTAGCAGAATTTTCTTCTCCAACCTGTCTGTCTTGTCTTGGCCGACTCCGTACCACATCCATCCATCCTTCCATCATGGATCCATCCATCCATCCATCCATCCATTCAACCTGGAACCCACCTGCCATCAACCTACCACTCTTGGACCAACCAGGGTTTAGAATGGAGAAACTGCCCTAAAATTTAATCCATGCTTTTTATTATGATGTATTACTTCCGTCGATTTTGGTGTCCCACATTTTACTGTTTATACTACGTATTATTCAATTGGGGTGAGAACCAAGGCATACTGGCATGGCGACATCTGGGGAATGAAATGAAAGCATGAATGATAGAATGCGATGACACGTCGCCTGAAAGCAGCCGGAAGGTTACCCGAAGCGACCGGAACCTGGGCAAGCGGGCATAGCATGAGTAATCAATAGAGTATCCGAAATCTGGAGATGGATCAGGATGGGATGGGTTTAGTCAGGTTGGAACTCCGAAGTGCGGATGATTGAGCATTTTGTGTAGACTTGACTATTGTGGGGAAGAAAAAAAAAATGAAAGAAAAATAAAAACTGAAAAAAAATAGGATAAAGAAGTGATAGGAGATGGTAGGAAAATTTAGCCAGGTAGAACTATCCGTAACCAACAGGGCTTTTTTTCGTTTTCTTACTGTTATTATTAACATGTTTTTTTTCTTCTGTTTTTCTATATTTACGCGCCCTTGACAGCACCGAGTTTCATCCATCGACCAACACAGAATACGGAGTACTCTAGAGTAAATTCTAAATACTTTCGATACAGGGACTAGTGCCAGTACTGGGGTAGTTGACTCCATCCGTTCGTCGACTCCTACTGTTATCGGGATGCCCCTGACTAACTCCGTAGATTCAGTAGACTATTTGATTTGGTGGAGGCTGGCGTGAGGTGTCATCCACCGAGGTATTCATTCTCCTCTCTATTATTGAAATTGAAAGACAAACAATCGATCAATTTATCTATCTATCAACTTTGAGATGGATCAAGGCTAGTTGTGGTGCAATGTGGAATCTTGAGTGTTGTGTGTGTGTGTGTTGGCTAGTCCAGTTGAGGGGAAGGAAGGAAATGGCCTGATCTGGAGTGGATTGGTTCCGTCATTTTGTCCCAGCTAGAAATAGCTTATTTATGACGATGACGATGAATTATGCAGACCCGATCCAGTTCACATGTCATGATCTCCGCCAATTTGATTCATTTTATTGTTATTATCATTATAATTTGTTTATTGTAATATCCCAAATGAAAAGAAATAAGGCTATTGAATTACACCCCGCCGACTATGAAGTTATACACCACTGTGGACGGAGTACGCAGTACAGACCAAGTGGATAGATAGGAGGCGCTGGATTGGGGTTGGGTTAGAAACTTAAGGGTCCGCAGCGGGAGGCCAGCCGCTTTCATTGAAAATTATGTCTAGCAAAACTCAATGGACCTATACCGTGTCTGATCCGACGCATGTGCCCCTTCTTTACGGAGTACTCAGTACAGGTGTTGCAATTTTCAAATTGGCTTCTCCCCAACATTGGTGGTTAAGATTACCAGGCGCCAGCCATGGACCCTCAAGGCGTCCACTTGAGAGTTTGATGTAGGCGCCTTCTTCGTCTTGTCTTCTCCTTTCTTTCCTCATTTCTCTGATTTTCGTCCTTGACCGCTAGATGCCGAGTTATGTATGTTCACGACAATATTCGCGACAGGTAATAAATTTCATAAAAAAACATAGGTGGCTAGGATGGACAACGAATAACTACTCCCTGCGGGGCAACATGCCAAGAATGGAAGTGGAATAAAAAAATTTAAAAAGGGTTAGGGGGGAAAAAAAAGACGATCCAAGAAAGGAACAGAAGCAGTTGCGTCATGGAAATGATTTGCAGCTAATTCAGGAGTCAAGACAAGGGCCTGCCTTAGTGGCGCGCACAGCCGTGTTTCAATGACAATCTCCCGCGTCCGGAGAGGGAAATTCTGGATCGGATGGGAGGGTCCTTTTTCCCGTCGCATCTATCCGGTTAGCTTTCTTGCTCCAAGTCTCTACCCCTGCCAGGAGGGAGATAGGCTTGAGTTAGCTACTGGTTTAATATGATTCTGGGATGATTTAAAACTCTGATAAGTATCTGTATAATCTGTATATCATTCTCATTCATCCTGAGAATAAATTACCTGATACAGCCACCCCAGAGACAACTGTCTGAGATCAGCTCGCCACAGTGGATTATGTCAGGCTGGGCTTCTCTGGGGATTCTGGGGCTGTGAACCCGACCCAGACAGAACAGTCCTGAGTCTAGAATAACATACAGCTTCCACGACACGGGTCGGATCATTTCGGAGGAATACCGGCTCTCTCCTCCATTTGTGGGATGACTGGGAGACTGGGAGGGAAAGTAGCGATTTCCGGAACTTCATTTTGATTTCTGATCAGGAAATTGCGGAGAAATTTCTTACCTAAAGGAACGGAATTATCCCTCGGTTCTAACCCCACTGAGGACCAAAGGACCCCTCTTTCTACTGTCTCTAGCTAGATTCACCTCCTGGAGATGGACTAAAGTGTTCCTCGGTGAAAAAAACCGAATAAAGAATTTTATTTTATTTTATTGATTTTACTTCCCACTCCTTGTCCTCTCCTGGTTCAGTACGGAGTAGTCCTCACGGTGCACTACCTGTCTAGTAGTCATGACAGATTAGGGGGCTCCGCAGTCCAAGCCCCCCCAGTCCGAGGCCTCAGTCCTAGGCCCGCGGGTTTGAGGCAATTTTTGCTCGGCATCTCCGTGCCGAATCTCTCTCTACTTTCCCCCCCTTTGCCCCTCGAGGTTTGCCGAGTCTATCCCGAGTCCCGTCCTGGAGAGACCGTTGATTCAGCTGACGTTACCTCCGTATCTTCCTCAAGACAGTTAAGTTGTCTTGGGGTTAACTTAGTTACCTAGGGGCGAGGGTTACCCATTCGGTAATGGCGTTACTATCCCGCCTATCCCAGGTCTTCACGTTCCATCGTGTCTCTATCGGTGGATGGGGGAACCTGAATGCGTTGTCCCTCGGCATTCCAACCGTGTACAAACGTGTATAAATCATGAGTAACGAGATTGAAGAAATTTTCACGCTCGCTTATCCTACCTGAGATTCTAGAATGTGACAGCGGCTTTTTTTTTTTTTTCCCTCGTCGCATGCATCTGGTAATCTCGTTGACTTTCTCTTTGGGGTTGGTGTAGTATTTTTCAAACCCAGAATGACATGGCCATAGCGGTGTGTGCCTGAAACTGTGGGTTGACTCCGGGTGAGGGAAATATCGATGAGCCCTGGACCCTGTGGCCCCATTTCATCCCCCTTAGAAAAAAACCTCGCAATTTCGGTAGCAGATTCTTCACGTCTCGCTCTTTATCTCCCTGACTGATGATATGAGACTACTAACTATCTTGGAGTATCCATAAGTCAGTCTTGATGACGGTCTCAACAATTAATCAAATCATGGCCCCGTTTCTTCCCCGTTAGACCGTCACTAAGCTTTCGTCTCGTCCCTCCCTTCTCCATACGTGTAACACGCTACGGATACTTTGAGGATAATACCGATGGAAAAATTTGGGTGAACGATGGACCAACCAGAGGAGAGACTGTTAGTGCGACGGGCTAAACTAATCAGCAGTGTGGTACTGATGGTCGTTGAAGCTTGGCTTCTTCAGATCGAAGGATGGATGGGCTGTGTCTCTTCTTATACTCTGTTGAATACAAATTATATACTTTCGGACCTAAGGAGGCTTTGTATACCTTGTGTAGTGGCTCTCGCGGGCTATCTTCTATCTTGTAGGTTGCTTGTCATCGTAACTGTCACATTATCTGGTCAGCTGCCTTTATAAAGTCACGGGGCATCAAGTATACTCTATCGATCCTGCGGAGTGGGGGTGTGGTCTTGAATGAGGTCGTCAGAAGTGTCACTGCCAGTCAATAGATATATCAGATCACTGGATCAATTCGAGCGGTCGTTCTTGACGTCAGTACCGTTGAAATCAATATTGCGAGGTGAGGCCTTTCAGGACATGCAGGACCACTGGCCTGGGTAGGAACTGATAACGTCGTATATAACGGAGAGTATTGCAGCTTGGGGCGCATCTCTCGGTCAAGTATCAACGGCGGTATGCATGATGTCTGGTCGGCGAAAGAAACGTGATTGGATGTACAAGGCTTGTCCCTGGTGTTATGCTAAGGATCGCCAAACCAAGCTTCTAGATACTGTCTTGAAGATGATCATCGTACATAGCTGATTTGGATCAATCATTGGCATCTGGCAGTGTTGGATGCTTGCCGATATTAGTAGATATGATGACGGGAAAGCGTCTGGTTTGTGGGCCATGATTGTTATATACCCGGTTTACACCGTATCGACAAGGACCCCGTATAGTCTCATGATATGTCTATTGACCGCCGTAGAGTTCTGTACATGACCACCGGAGGAAAGGTGACACGTCCAACAACTTACCCAGAAAGGAATTGAAGATCGGCAATATTACCCAAAAAGGTCAAATGATATCGCGCTCGACGCCATTCTGCCGCGTCTGGCCGCCTCCAAAGTTCTTTCGGCCATTCTCAACAACGCTCTCTCTCCCTCTCGCTCCTCGCTCGTTCCATCATGTTCGCTCGTTCCTCCCGCGTATATCTTGTCTCGAGAAGTCCAGCTTCATAGGTTACAGCCTGTCGCGGCCATTGACCGGCCTGCCCACTTCCCTCCTCTCCCCTTTCGCATTCCCCCCTCTCAATTCGCATCATGGCGCCCCCGCGGCAGCGCACGACCGCCGTCCACGATGACTCTCGCTCAGAGGCTTCCAGCACTGCGCGAGAACACAAGACAGCCTCCAAGGGTCGCAAGACGGCCAATGCCCCTGCCGCCAGTGCCTCACGAGCTGAACCCAAAGCCGCTGCTAATGTGACCAGCGCCCCCGCTGTCGAAGACAATCTGCCCAAGGTACGCGAACCCTTCTGCCTTCTCCCCATTCTTCCTAAATGGCCTTCAAATCGCTTACGAGTCTGTCTCTCTTATCAGATCGACTGGAACGAAATGCCCCTCAGCATGCTCCACTCCTATCGCCACTCCTACAAACTTTCCTGCCCCAGCGCCTACCCCAGCGAATACTCCCAGCTTCTCCTATCCAAGGGAATCGGCCTCCGATCACCAACCGCGATCGCCGCCCAACGCGCCCACCAAGCCAAACAAGACTCCCAAACCAACGGCGTGAACGGAGTCGACAACGCCGGCGCAGCGCCGAAGAATGGCCCCAATGGCATTGTCGCCAGCAGCAGAGATCCCACCCACGGACAGAGAACAGTAGACGGGAAGAGCGCCCTGCACCGCATCATTGCGCAGGACCGCGTCAGCAAAAAGCAGCTTGCGACGGCGGCGCGGAAACACTTCAATAATGCTGCGCTGGCGGAGCAGGAGGCTATCGCGCGGTTTTTGTACAAGGTTCGCGAGGAAGGGAGGGGGAGGCAGTTTCGGTTGAGGTTTCAGCCTTAGAATGTCCTCCTCCTCTTTCTTTTCTTTTTCTTGGTTCTATCTACCGATAGGTTTCGTTGGCTTTGGTCAATGGTGTTCTATGGGTAGTTTCTCTCCGGTTTTGGGCTGGGGCTCCCTGCCGCAGGCGTTTTGATATCGTTCTGTGCCCTGGCAGGACCTACGTTGGTTTTTCGTCTGTTTCTTACCGTCTACACCTCATCTTTCTGTTTCTTCTTTGTCCAAGTCATGATACCCATTGTTTTACCTCACCCATCTTGTTCTCACCTTGTCTCCTATCTCAATGTACTATAATTGCTACCTTATCTATGCCATCTATCCTTCTCGAGTCACCTGTCCCATACCTGTTTCACACCGTCCGTGACACCTACCTCGTCAATACACAATAATGTGTAGCCCTCTCACCGTCTCGGAATGATCGTTTCTCAACTGAAGCATAGGAGCCCAGCGAGTTTCTCCCCTTTCCTTTCATTCCTTCTTCGGAACTATATACATCCGTGGAGAATATACCCCCAGCCGAGCTGGCTCCAGTTATCTCTTACTGCTATCTTCGGGACCGGATCAGCCTGGTTTGTACACTATCCTATCCATTAGCAGGACATATTCTGTGCCCTCGCTTCTAGGGTGACTCCTGTATGATAGACCTGTCAAATCATATAAAAGCAGACCTGTCTAATCTAGACCTTACGTATGTCTATAAAAATTATACAACACTTCAGGAACACATTCTCAAGAGCCGAGATAATACCCCCAACCAGGCAAACGTGAAGCTACCCGAAAGAACATAGGATATCTGAACCAGAAAAAAGAAAAAAGGAGAACAAAACAGGATGATTCTCTCCGCATCTTGCGGGATTGGTCATTGTATTAGAGAGAAGACTGATACAGGTTTTCCCTCCTATGCACTATGGACCGTTAGTTACCCGGCCCTATAAACGGGTACTTTTATGGAAGTCGACTGTTCCTAAAAGACACAAGACACGGCAGACCCCTGCGCTGGTTTGAAGGTTTGAAAAAAAAATAAAATAAAATAAAAATACATCAGGCTCAAGCCAACGGCTCTCATGTTGCTGGCTGGCTGGCTGGTTGATCAATCAATCTTTTTTGGAAAAAAAGACTGTACCATTACCATGGATGACAGTCGTAATATTGTCGTCTAATGTGCCTGAATCTGCAGCACTGACCATTGTGTCGATGGTAGTGCTTTGGACATCGACGACGCTGGGCTTCGTTGGTTGCGGAGAGATCTCTTTCCGTGGCGCCTTCTGTCGACAGGGCTGTGGCCAGGCATAGAAAGAAGAGGGCGGTGATGAGTAGTTGGTTGAGATGCATTGTGTGGAGAAAATCCCGACACTTGAGCGGTGGGCAAGCTGAGATGGTTATGTTATGATTGATTATAGAGCAGGCAAGGACGGAAGGTGTTTATTGAGTGTTGGTTCTTGATGGAGACAGACGGTGTAAGTTCGATGATATGAGTTGAGGGACGCTACGGCGGGCGGCGTGGTGGGATTTATACGTATCCTTGGGTTTGTACTCCGTGCTACGTAGATGGATATGGACATGGACATGTCAGTTAGGGTTGCATTTCCCCTTGGATGAGGCGACTACGCGAGGGGGCTCCATGGGCTAGTTGTGTATATCATGCGCCGTTCTGGAACATGTAATCTGCTAGATGCCAATAATTATAGTATAGACGACTGAACACGGCAACATAGATATTACCTGTTGCATCATTTGGAAAGAGAGATAAAACCAGGATAGAAACTTCCGGATTTCAGTATACAGATCAACAGACTATTTTTCTCAGTTACAAAACTACAATTCTAAGTATGGGTACAAGATAAACCTCGGACCTCGCACTCTAGGCCATGCTAGTTATACCATTGGTCCGAAACCTCCTTGCTTGACAAAAATGAAATCGATCTCGTATACTGATTGGGAAGATGCTGCAGATATCAACCATATCCCACCCGATCAAAATGCTGTGAGGCTTTTTAGTGCACTTGGCAGATGCTTTGATACTGAGGAATAGAACAGGGCAGGATAGGATAAGATGGAATAAGAATAGAAGAGAATAGAATGTTTCAGTAATACCCACAGTAGCCAACGACACAAAAACACAGCAAGAAACGCCTGGATGCAACCAACCAACCAACCAACAATCAATCCGTCATCCTTCATTGTTCTATCATGTTTCGTGAGTCTGCACTTCTCATCGGTCGTCTTCGATCCCGTGGAGGAAGGAAAGGGGTGTTCATTTCCACGCGTTCAGCCCCGCCCAAGGATCACCCTGACCCTGACCTTGAGACTGAGACGACTGGGAAGGCGCCTTGTGGTGCTGGCTTGAGCCGTAAGGGCGACTTTGGGCGTAGCCGCCCGGACCCGTGGGGAAGGGTCCCGTGGAGGGCGGGTAGCTGGTTTGATGGGGTCGTGGGGGCGGGGGCGGCGGGACGTAGCCCTGCGGCATGAACTGGGAAGGGGCGGTGGGCGGCGTCGGGTTTGAGTAGCCGCTGTAAGGGGTCGGGGTCGACGAGTAGAACTGCTGGTTGGGCGGCGGTGAGGCGGACGGCGGGTAGGGGTATGCCATTGGGTTGTAGCCTTCGGAGAGGGGCGCTGCGGCGCCTTGCTGGAAGTGTTGCCCTGGCATGTAGGAGACGCCGGTCCCTGGGGGCATATATTGTCCGTAGGGTGCAGGCGAGTGGGACATGGGCATGCCGTGGGGTTGCCCAGTTACGTTGGGGGGGAAGGCGGGCGACATCTTCGGGGATGTGATCCCGGGCGTGGGGTAGCTTGGGACGTGGACCGGGGGAGGGGGTGATTTCGCCTTGTACGACGATACTGGGGGCGGAGGACCCGCAGAAGGGGGCTTGGGCTCTGCGGACAGGCGCTCCATGAGTTGGCGGAGCTTCTCCCGTTCTTGGTCTTCCTGGTTGGCCGCCCCGCCTGCCTTGTCGCGTTCGATCTGGGCTAGCAGCTGCGCCCCCTCGGACCGCCGGTTGTTGATGAAGGAGTCCACGTTCTTCCGGAGATTTTCTACCGTCTCGCCCATTTCGGTATAGAAGGTCTGCGCCTGGACGACGCCCGACAGGAGGCCGTTGAACGCGTCGTACACTTTCTTATATCGAGCCATCACGGAATTCCGCTGGCGGGTGATGGCCTCGTACTTGGATTGCTCGGACCGGACTCGTTTGTCTTGTAAAAGGTCTCCATAGATCTTGGTAAGCTCTTTCATCAACGAGGACTGCTTGTGGTTGGCCTGAAGCAGGCGGTTCTGATGCGGCCGGAACTTTTCCAACTCCGCTTCGAAAAGCTGGCTCTCCTGTCCAGTGATTGACTTCTTGTTCAAGATGAGAACATTTGAGATGTCATCATTGTGGACCTATAGTTTCCCATTAGACCAGTGATCGTGAAGGGGGCGGAGGGAATATACCTTTTCTTTCAAGTCCTTCAAAACCTGAGAACGCTCCCGCTTGACCAGATTCAGTTTCTTCAGGATGGATTCCACTTTGGCAATTTGATCCGCCACACTAAGGCTCCCCTCGTCGTATACGTCGTCCAAAAGATTGCCTTCCGCGGTGGACGAGTGAGGGCTGCCAACGCCATTCTTACCCTTGCCGTGCTTTGAGCTGACCTTGATCATGGCCCGTTGGAAGAGCACCTCGGCCTCGTCAGTCTCACCGGCGGACCGCATCTCGTCAAAGTCCGACTCGTACTGCCGTAGCGTGGCCAGCAGTTGCGAGTCGCTGGCGCTGGCCTCGTTGATCGTATCTCGGAACGTCCGGATATCACCACGCAGCGTCGTGTTGAGTCGGGCGCTGGGCTGCTGGCTCCAATCCGCCCCATGTTTGGAGCGCATCTTTTCGCAGACGCTCTCTTCCTTATCCAGTTGCAGGGCGCACTGGTCGAGAAGCCCCTGGATCTCCACTTTGCGATCCTGCAGCCCATCCAGCGCCTTGGCGAAGGATTTGTGGCCCGCGAGGTCCTGGCACCACCGCCGGAATTCATCGTCGACCGTCATCTCCTGGTCCATCCCGCCTTTCACGATGTTCAAGCTACCCGGGAGCTTCAAGTAATCCAGACTCGCAGCCATCTCCCCGTTGGCCGTCTCCACCTTCTCGGTCTCCGCTCGGATCAACTTGGCCTTCTCCTCGTCGTACAGGCTGGCCGTCTCCGTGACGGACATGGGAACCAGCTTCTGGAAGATATCGGGGCCAATGATTCGTTGGATATCTTGTCCCTGGTAGAGCTCGCTGACAGGGATCGCCTTGGCCGCGGGGAGTTTGGCGACCGCGGACAGGCCTGCCTCGTTGGGGATGGGCTGGTGGTAGATGAAGTCGTTATCCTTCACGAAGGTAGCGAGCGTGGCCTGCACGTTTGCGAGGTGGTACTTGATGAGATCGGTCAGGTTCGCCCCGGACTCCGAGCTGAGATTCGAGTTGGGCGGGACCGACGAGGGGAATGACTTGGCCCATCCCAGCGCGGCGTTCGAGTTTTTCTCTGCGAACTGGAGTCGAGCGATGGCCACACCATGCGACTGGCTCTCAGTGTCCGCCAGTGCCTGATAGTAGGACGCAACTGACGCCATGTGACTGGCCTTGGCCTGGACCACAATGAGCCACACCTTCTCGAAGACGCCCTTGGCATATTCCTGCATCCCTTCCACGGCCTGGGTATAGAGGTACGCGGACTGGCTGGCGAGCTTGGCGAGGAGACCCGCTTTCTTCTGATCCGCCGTCTGCTTTTCCAGGAAGACTTCCTGCGCCTGCGCAAGGGTGACATGGATCAGTGTTTTGACCGTGTCGCGATTGAGATCCGTCGACGGCGCATGGAGGAAGTTCTCGTTGATGTAGGTGAACATTCCGGCGGAAGCTTGGAACGAATGATAGGCCGTTTTCAAGCCGGTGTCGTCGGCGCGGTTCTGGTTTGCTGCATGGCAGGAGAGGACGGCAGAGATGTTGAAGATAATCGAAGCTTTCTCAAAGGCTAGAGAGTATTGGGAGGTCTGCTTGTGGGTGAAGGCGTCGTACCTGGATGACGGAAACGTTAACACACATTCTCCACCCACCGCGGGGTAAACAATTCAAACCATACCAAGTAAAGGATATTTTGATGTGGTTTTCATCCACCGGAAACCTGAGGTCCAGAAGCTCTAGCTGCCCGTAGTACCTATATAGAAGGTCGCGGCCCGTCGCACTGTCTTTCCCCGCACCTCGCATATCTTGGCGCAACCGGTTGAGGGTTGCGCATTCTTGACTGTATCGTTCCGGGTCTTCGCCATAGCTCTGGCGGATGTAGTCCTTGAGGGGGTGGATCCAATCGATTTCATTGGTCTGCTTGAGGGGACACGAGATCATGGCTGATTGAACCATACTGGCGATCGGTCAGAGCGAGCAGCTCCCATTCACAGGCGGAGAGTTCGCGAATCAGTCGGAGGGTCGACTGGAGGTTGATGAGGGGGAGGGGAACGGAATTGCGCGCGGCGGGACGATCGGGGGGAGGAGGGGAGGGGCGGTGGGGGGGGGGGACCCAAAGCTGGGGTGAGAGGAGGGACAGGACCAGGTATCGAGGGATACGAGACCGACAAAACCC